TTTGCACATAGGGATGGTTTTGAAAGGAATTGCACTCTAGGTGGGTTTTACATAAAGTCCTTTGGACATTGAACCTAAATCCATACGAGTATCTTGTTCAGAGAAGATAAGAGATGAATTTATGCAGGGAGTCCGTTGCAGATCACTGAACTCAAGACTATCTTTTCTGGCATAACGATTGCAGTTGTGTCCATAGCTATGGGACAGGTGAGAAGAGGAGGGAATACCAAAACCGGTGAAAACTGCACTTCTCTGTGGGCTCAAGGGCCACAGCAGCAAAGATTTTGGAGATGTTCTCCCCAGCCTGGCTTCTGAAACGCGTGAGAACTGACATTAGCCTGCTGCTACCAAAAAGGGCTTCACGGGAAGTTCAGTGGGACCCGACGTGACGGCTAACGAACCTTGCATGTGTCTGAGCCAAACGAGCCTACCATGTGCTGGCGGAGGAAGCCCAGGGCTGTTCCTAACCTTCCAGCTGAGCGGCTGCACAGGCAGGATGGGGTGAGAGCAGGCTGGATCTGACTCCGTGGCACAAAAGCCTCAGTCCCAGTCTAAGTCAAGGGGGTGACAGAGCTCTCTGTGCTGGGATGCCAAGTTGTTGCTCTTAGGTGAAAGATCTGAGGCTTGTGAGGGTCCAAACCCTCCTGATCTGGGAGGAATTGTTCCTGCAGTGGAGAGGGGGAAGCACTTGGTTTCAGGTATTTATCAGTGTTTGTCTCCCTTTACACGGCGTAATACAATTCCTTAAAGGTGAAAATCAGAGTTCTGGAACCCCAGAGAAATGTTCCGGTTATGCCTAGATGGGGAGAGGCCCTGGACTGTGGGGATGTTCCTGCACCATGCTGCTCTTGTCATTATTTGGTGGCTTGTAGCTAACAGAATGCTACACAGAAGTCAGAGATATTTGAGCCTGATGAGTTTCTGTTCCTGGTGAGGGCCACGAAAGCAGAGCTGGGACACCAGATAACTCAAAACCTGTGGGGCGAAAATTCCTCAAAGAGAGTGGGCGGAGTGGGAGGGCAGAGCTCTCTGTTTGGAAAACATCTCAGAAAAATCTTGGAAGGAGATCATACATCCCACTTGTGTCTCCCTCTCCAGAGAGGAAGACTTTAATCTGCATAAATTAAAACATAAATTGGATAAATAGGCTCCTTATTTGTATTACTCCCTTTCCTGAATGTCCCTTATTTTCAGGCCTCGTGATGCCCATTGAAAGACTGAGCAGGCGGATGCTCTTGCCTCAAGGTTTTGCTGAAGGTCGCGGCAAGCAGGAGCTAAACTTCCTCAGTTCTTAGCTAAGCTGTGTGTCACTTGCCACTTCTTGGCTCAGGTTGTGTGCTGGCCGCGGCTCGGTGGTGTGTAGTTGGAGGGCAGGGACCACTGAGGAGAAAACTTGAACTGTTGCATTTCACAGCAAACAGGGTCTGATGCTTCCAGAATGGGAGTAGGAATTGGAGGTGAGGATAGGGAGAATGTAACAGGAAAGAAACCAGGGCAGTAAACCCCCTTATCCTTTCAGTGCCTTGTTTTTCTTGTGTGTAGTGTATGTACGTGATTTTGAAGGTACCACCACATCATCTGCAGCTTAACTGTGCTATGGGGTTTATTTTCACGGCAGCTTCTCCTGTAGTTTCAGGCATAACTCAAGTTTCTTGCTGTATTATCAGCATAAAGGACATAGAGAATTGCCATTGCGTCACGTTAAGGTAGAAGTGTATGTTGTCCAAGGGTTACTGTGCCAAACTGAGACTCTCTTGAACTAAATTTCCTGTTTTGAAAGCAACTCTGGCATGTCACAGCTGGGGGCTGAGACCTGCTGAGCACTTGGGATTCCAGCTGAAGTCTGAAAGCTGCAGGTGCCCGGCGTTTCTGACAGGGTGAGCTCACTTGTGTGGAGTCAGACTTTCCACAACAGCCACTTGAAAGGAGTAGCCATCAAAAAATGAGCCCGAAGCATCTTGTGTCTCTTTTTTTCAGTCTTTTCGACATGTTCGTTGATCAGTGTCTTCTCCACAGGCATAATCACCAGACAATTACTATTGCAATTTGAGATTCTATGCAAAACAATTCCATTTCATACTTATAAAAAGTATAAAAACGATAGCCATTTGGACATTCACATAAAGAAATATGAAAGCAATTATAGAACTAAGAAGTGTTGTAGAAGGTGAAATCTAGATAAATATCAAGTGAAGACTTGCCAACAGCCAGCGTGCAAAGTGTCAGCCTGAGACACAGGAGATAAGGTTCAGTTCTGAAATGGATTTCTGCGTGATCTTAAGCAAATAATGTGACTGTTCTCCTTTGTAAAATGTCGATAACGCTCTTTCCTCGCAGGTGTGTTGTGAGAATGAGTACAAGTGCGATTGCAAAGTTCCCAGAATACGGGAGTGTAAGAACACCCTTGAATCAAGGTTGTTACACGTAGAGGTTGGGCTGTGCAGTAGCCCTCCTGTCTCACACAGTGGTTTCAGTTCAAACTACTTTTCACCTGGTTTTGAAGCTTGAACTTTATTACAGAGGATTGGAATGTATAAAGCTGGGTTCTTCCATATATCGAACCCCCTAAAAAACCTGTTCTCACAATATTGTCTCCTTTAATCTAGCAATGTTATGCTAATTTTCATGCAATTATGCATTAGGGGAGAAGAGCTGTTTATGCCACTTGATATTATTTTTAATTGCATTCTCACATCATTTAGCATTTCATGCCTGAACACCACGTTTTCAAATTAGAGAAATTCCAAGGAGCATTTTCAGGAATATCTAGGGCGTTTCGGAGTCCCAGTTCATGGATGTGCTCCTCTTAGTAACTAGGGTATTTTTGAAGCTGTTTGACTTTGTGGATAGCCTGCTGCTCTTAGAGGCAGGAGAAAACACAGTCGGAAGAGATGAGGAGGGCACACGGCTTGGTCCGGTGTCCTCTGCTGCTCCTGAGCGATGCGCAGCTGGGCTGCGCGTTCCCTGCTGGTGTCCTCGCCGTTGTTAAAAGGACTTTGCTGACCTGTGCTGCTGGCACTGACAAGGGGACAGAAATAGCAGAGCCCTTGTTCAGCAGCAACTCCCACCCCCTCAAAGGGGTGATTGACAAGTCGGTGTGAGGCAGATTCTGGGTTGCGCAAAAAGATGGTTTATATGAGACGCTCTGTTTCATAGGATTATTAACACATCAGCAGGCTTGATTAATCAACTCTCTGTCCTTATTTGTAGAGAATCACCCTTTGCGCTTCCCTGTGACCATCTGAAGCACCTATTACTCATTTGCATAAAGTATTTGTAACGTAACCATTGTGTACTCCTAATTGCACGCTAACCTGAATACGCTTTCAAACCCTTCTGCTTTGCCAGAGAAAAGAGACGCTACTGAATTTTCCTTTTGAAGCTCAACATTTTAGCACAAATTTCTTATGCTCTAAGTTCCGGCAGAGCTGCCATAGAGCTCACACATTTACAGCTCTAGAGCTGGAGTTGTGGCTGTAATGATGAGATGTCAACACTGAAGGTGGAAAACCCATAAACTTGGCTGAGCTGCCCTGTGATATCACAGCATAATGTTGTTACTAATGCAAAATTGATCCTTTGTTAGGATAACAGTAAAAAAGAAATTAAATCAGAAGAACCATGTAAGCGGTGTGGTTTTGCCTGGATAATTTCATTAAAAGAAAGCTGCTCCGTTGCAGGTAGAGGCCAGGCAGCAGCCGGAGCCCATCAGTGATTTCTCCTTGTATATGGGAATTTTGAATAAAAAGTGAGGTGACCCATACGCAACGTTTGCAAATAAAACCAGCCACTTCGGCGTTGAAAAAACCATCCCTGGTGCAGTTCATCCTGACACCCTGATGTCTGTGTGACTCACCTGAGCTGTTTAAAAACCCCGGTTTCTGTGTTGCTTGTTCCAGCAGTGCCCTCTGCTGCCTGACAGCACCGGCTGTTATCTCCAAGGAGCTTCCCCCCTCCTCATCTCAAGTGTTTTAAATCCAGTTCTCAAAAAATCATTTACCTTTAAAAAAGGCAGAGAAAGAAAAGATGTAATGAGGTTATGTTGTTTTACTAATGTACAAGTCACACATTATCCGTAAATAAGCAAACACAAGATACACTGTGTAAGTATAAATGTCTGATATTTTCTAGCTACATTCTCATCCAAGAATCAAGGTGGGGAAATGGCATTTTCAGAACTACTTAGGCATCTTAAGTCTCTAGTACAATCAATCTACTAAAGGGTTAAGCTTTCCTCCTGCATTTCCTTGTCTGAATTGAATTAACAAGTTTGAGGTTTGTTCCATAGACACGATCTAACTGTGCTTAGAAAACCAGCTTGTGTTGGCTGCATCAGTCTGTGACTGTAGGCAAGAGGCAGTGAACAACTAAGTTTTGTTGCCTCTTGGTCAATCCTGAGGGCTTTAGAAGTTTTGAGATGTTACTAGAATTGATCTGAAATGAGGACTTACATCCTCGCTGAACTGGGATGACACAACGGCGATGTTCTTCGACTTCTGTCAGTCACATAGCTCCCTCTCCAAAACCAAAAAATTACTCCTCTGAGATTTCTGACTCTCTAATCCTTTATCCATCTAATTTATTTGTGAATTAAAAGTGAATTCACAGTCATCCCACCTTAGAATATCCTTAAAGACTTTTGAACTGCTGATGTTATCGTTCATCTTTACAAGAACTGCCCAGATTTTGCTCTTGAGAAAGGTTGCTTTAAGCAAATCATCTGTAAAGTAGCAAATGTGTTTTTCCACTTTTGGTTATCCTAGCAACTTAATGGTAATCGGCTCTGCCTTGAGTTGGCAACCCAAATATTTAAAAACCTGAGTGGTTAAAGTTTAATCCGATGTCATGAGGATGATGTGGCAACAGAAGCTGTGCGTCAGGGTTCACTCTTCGCCTGGAGAACAAGGCAGCAGCGACACTCACGTAGCGTGGTCTCTTACAGAACATGGGATGAGGAAAGCAGACCTTGTTAACAGTTGAAACTGGGATTTTTGTCCACCATGAACGGATACTCAAACTGCTCTGCTAACCACACTAAAATCTGGAATCATTATTTAGTACTTGCACTGGGCATCCCTCAACTGACCATCAACGTAGCATCTGTGATCTTCAACTGCACGGTCATCTTCACCAGAATGGCCATGAAGGATCTGCACAAGCCTATCTCTATACTCTTCTGCAATTTGGCTTTTTCCGACCTCTTCACCAGCTTCTCTGGCTTTTGGATTACATTGCTCTTCATCACCAATCCTGACATAACAATCTTTGGGTCCAAGGATATGCTTGCACCATACGCCTTATATACGTCATCTATTTTATCCACCATCTACAACCTGATAAGCATCGGAATCGAACGTTACCTGGCTGTGGCTGAAAGCATGAGGACACGATTCAGGCTTGCTAGAAGCCATTCCATAGCTGTAGTTTTAATTAACTGGGTTCTCGCTTTCTTTTTGGGCTGCTTGCCGTTGATGGGGTGGAACTGCTTGCACACAGAAAAAAACATCTCGGTCCTCTACAGCCCGTTTTGCGTCAACTACCTCATCTTCATCACCATTCCCAATGTTGTGGTGGCTTTTATTATACCTCTGTTCACTTACCTTAGAATCATCATTATCTTGAGGAAAAGAAAGCTGAGAATGAAAGCATGTGGGCAAGCTACGGGCACCTACAAATCGGCTGAAATCCAGGTTGCCAGAACTAGTACTTGTATTTGGCTCCTGGCACTGATCTCCTACGCTCCTTTTTTCGCTGGGGTCATATTCGACGCGACTAACCAGCAGTGCCACGTTGACCTCTACCCGGGCGTCTACATCTTCCGAAACTGCACGGCGATGCTGATAACCATGAACTGCTTAGGAAACCCCATCATATACACCCTGAAAGCCAAAACTCTAGGGGCTAAACTCAAGGATCTTAAACGTCTCACCACCAACCGCATCCGAGCCTGCACCATCGAGAACATCTAGCCGGGACCGCTCTTGGGCCAGGGATGTCAGCATGCCCGACCTAGGGATGTGGTCGGGGAGAGTGGGGAGTCGCGGAAGCGGGGCTGGAGCTTTGTGGCTTCTCTCAGCAGCTTTCATAGGCTTCAGTAGAGGGTGAACCCGTCGCGGCAGTTTGCGGCTTTCCTTCGGGAAGCGGTCTGGTGTGCGCACCTGCTTTGTCCGGCCTCTAAATGGCAACAGGAGAGCTGGTTTGCCTGGAGACAAAAATAACTCCATTAGCCGTGTTTACTTTGCGTTTGGAAAGAGGCTGCTCTCGCGCTCGCTTCGCTGCTGGGATTCACGTTCCTTTTTCATTATTTGTGTGGTTTTGGAGACAGATAATGGCCAGAAAATTTGTCAGTAGTATGGGGGGAAATGTAATATTGCTTTTTCGGTTGCAGTTAGTCAAACTGTGTCTTTGAATGTTTGATGAATCTCTTTATTATTGGGGCAAATCAGCACTGTTTTAGTGTTTTAATTTTAACTGCAGTATGCGGCGGTATTATGTGTTTTTGTGACATATTTGTGACTATACTTTTCACGTTTCTGCTTGTAATTAGTGATATGCTTGAGTCCATGGCTTTTGAAATTTGCAGCATTCTAGGAAAAAAATCTCGCTTGAGCTCTTCAGTATCAGAATTGCAGTCAAGTTGCCTGTACAAAATAAATCAAAATAAAAATGTCAAGACTGAGAACTTTGTGTAAGGAAAAGGTCTTACCCCCCTCCTCTCCAAGAAAGTTAATCTGTCAGATCCTATTAGAGATGAACATTTATTCTTAGTTATACAGGGTTATTGTCTAGAAGAATCTCAGTGCCTGAATTTCTTATCTCCTGCAGTTACAAATCTAGAAGCCTTGACTGAATAGATCCTGGTGGGAGTAGCTCATCTTTCTGCTTTTCAAGCATGCTCGGAACCTGCTCAGTGGTACCTGTCCGTGTTTCCACGTGCATGAAACACACACGCACAGTCCGAGCGAGCCCAGCCCTTCCAGCAGAGGTTGGAGTTTTCAGGGATTTCTTTCTGGTTTGATTGTTTTGTTGCCATTGTTTCAGCATTTCAAAAGGCTTGAGTGAAATGAGAACAAAATCCCACTAATCTGTTCCTGAGCAAGTAGGAGAAAAGAGCACGTTTGCCTAAGGAATGGGTTCACACATTAACGTAAGAAAAGGGCAGGGGCCGTTACATTGACAAATCCGATCTTTAGTGATTTCTGCTATTGCTCTAAAACCCCTTTTCTGTGCTACTTTACCCTGACGAACTCTGGAAGAACTTCCTTAGTCTGAATTAAAATTCAGACATTTAAGGGAATGGCTGGCACTGAACGATACATAATCAAAATGAATTATTTAAATGGATAATGTAACGTGGGCAAGATAAGTCCAGCTCCATTTTTTCCTTCTGAACACCACTCTTCTGTGTTTTCTGGTAACTCAACCCCCACCAGCCTCAAGGAACGTCTGTCTCCCACTGGATGTATTTCAGCCTAAACTGAGTACCAGGAGATTGAGCGAGCGCTCACCGCGGGGCAGAGGGCAAAGCTCAGCCGGGGTGTGGTGGGGATTCATTAAGTGCTATTTACGATTTGATTTCTGTTCCTCTTCGTATTGATATTGGCAAGGGAATGCGTAATTGCCGGCGTATTTAATGCATCGCTGTCTTATCACAGCAATTTTCATTTCAGAAGCAAGGTGGCAGCTGGAATCCAGCCAGAATTCCCTCAAGAGGAAATATATATAGATATCCTTACATGTATATATATAT